TATAGAATGGTCACTGATATTAGTAGACATTCTTTATTCGTTCGCCGCCCCTGTTTGCTCTGTCCCTTTTCTCTTCGCCTACATTCACTCTTGTCTTCCCTTCAGTTACCACCTTTATATGTTCATGTAGCATCTCACTTTTCCCTACCCCCTGGGAAGTTCCAGCTGTTCGGGTCTGTTCTTTCTCACTCCCTTGCTCGAAAGCTCAACTGCCTACGGTGGCTTCCCGCTCTCTTTTTCTTGATCACTTCCACTCCCATTCTCATGCCACCGCTGTGTACACAGATGGCTCTAAGTCTTCAGATGGCGTCGGATTCGCAGCAGTGTTTCCGGACAGCGTCGTGCGGGGGCATTTACTATCTTCAGCTAGCATTTTTACTGCTGAACTGTATGCCATTCTTGCAGCACTTATTCGTATCGCATCTATGACTGTGTCATCATTTGTAGTAGTCTCAGACTCCCTTAGTGCTCTACAGGCTATACGAAAATTTGATACATCTCATCCCCTAGTTCTCCGTATCCAACTTTGGCTATGCCGTATCTCTACGAAGCATAAAGATATTTTTTGTTGGGTCCCTGGTCATGTTGACGTACAGGGCAATGAACAGGCAGACACTGCTGCGCGGTCAGCAGTACATGACCTACCAATTTCCTATAGAGGTGTTCCATTTCTGGACTATTTTGCTACAATAGCTGCCCACCTTCGTGCCCGTTGGCAACAACGTTGGTCAACTCTGCTTGGTAACAAACTTCATTCTATTAAACCGAGCATAGGTTACTGGCCGTCTTCTTGTCATCAGTGCCGTGGTTGGGAGACCACTCTCTCCCGTCTTCGCATTGGCCACACTCGTCTTACTCATGGGTATCTCATGGAGAGGCACCCTGTTCCTCTCTGTGAGCAGTGTCAAGTTCCAGTATCGATTAGCCACATTCTGTTAGACTGCCCTCTCTATCAACGAGCACACAGAATTTACCTCCAACGCCGTCTTCGTTCTATTACTCTCTCTTTACCTTCCCTTCTTGCTGATGGACCCTCCTTTAATCCTGACTCTCTCATTGACTTCTTGACAACGACTGATTTACTCCACAAACTCTGATGATGATACCTTACGCACTCCCCTCAGCCCTTTCTAGCTCAGTCTCTTGCTGCCCTTTACCCTTTCACCATCCACTGCTCCGCTGTTATCCGTAACCTATTACTCATCCACCTCCCTTTTGCCACCTGATGCCCTCGCTTCCTTCCTGCCCTGCAGCGCTGTATAGCCCTTGTGGCTTAGCGCTTCTTTTTTATTATAATAATAATAGATTTTTTTCCCAACAAACCAGCCATCTCCCACCGAGGAAAGGCGACCTTAAAAGAAAAACGAGTTACTCTCTTAAAATTTAATAATTTATACAGGGGAAGGGGTTACTAGCCCCTTGCTCCCGGCATTTTCGCCTCTTACGACAGTCATGGCTTACTGAGCAAGAATATAATAGAAATATAGCATGTAATGGAAGATAAGGTAATCAGTCCCTAGCCTAGGAGAATGTGCTCATCACCTACTCCTAGGCTGAGGGACTGACCATCTCATCTTCTATTTGCTGTATATATTTCTACTATGACTGTGTACTGTGTTGACTGTAAGACAAATGGGTAATAGATCATGGAGCTGAACTCTTTTCCAGGCTGAGGGACTGACCACCTTGTTCTAGACCATGCTGCTGAGTTCTTCTCCAGGCTGAGGAACTGACCACCTTGTTCCAGACCATGCTGCTGAGCTCTTCCCCTCAAGGAAGGTTCCTTGATGTTGGTGAGGGGCTCTTGATTTAGGGAATTGGATCTGTGCTCCAGTTCCCCGAATTAAGCCTGAATGCCTTCCACATCCCCCCCCAGGCGCTGTATAATCCTCCGGGTTTAGCGCTTCCCCCTTGATTATAATAATAATAATAATGCTGAGCTCTTCTCCAGGCTGAGGGACTGACCACCTTGTTCCACACCATGGGGCTGAACTCTTCTCCAGGCTGAGGGACTGACCGCCTTGTTCCACACCATGGGGCTGAACTCTTCTCCAGGGTAAGGGACTGACCATCTCAGATACTATTGTCTCCAAGCTTGATGGACTGATTACATTATGTTTATTTCGCTGCTACTCCTGCTGACTCTGTATCTGACTGAAGAAGCCTACTGTGTAGGCGAAACGTCTCATCAATAAAGATACCCAACTGTTGCACATGTGTTTTACTTATCAACTTGTCAATAAAGTCACTGGATGGCAAAACATCTGCAACATAGTAAGATGTTTCATATGTGTCTAATTCGTTTATGTTGTCAACGTTGAATACCTCTGATATGCAACAAGATTTTCTACACTCACGTACCCTCGTACTACTCACGGACGAGCCAAAAACTGAATCTGCAAAATGTAACAAAATTGACCTCCGACATCACATGGTCCTAGCCACATGGCCGAAGCCACATGGTCCTAGCCACATGGTCCTAGCCACATGGTCCTAGCCACATGGCCCCAGCCACATGGCTCCAGCCATATGGTCCTAGCCACATAGCCTCAGCCACATCGTCCTAGCCACATGGCTGAAGCCACATGGTCCTGGCCACATGGCCCCAACAACACGACCATCAGAGGTACCTTCATTTTGCATTGCTGGAAGGCTTTCGTGGACTCCCTGAAGGGGCTGTGGTGTGAGGAGGACCCTTGTCACTCTGAGAATCAGTTCTCTGGCTGTGTGCAGGTCTGCTTGCGGTCATACAAATGTAGTTTCCTGCTTATCGGCTCTGCGGTCACCCGCTGTTGTTTCCCGTCAGGCAGGTTTCAGGAAGGCCGTGTGTCAGGTATGGTGCTCAGCTGGTCTCTAGTCTAACTCTGGCATCAGACTGTATAAAGGTTAGTGCATCTCTGTAGGCATTTTTCATATGCGTCCTCCCTCTTGTAAGATCATTAGAGAAACACTATAGTAAGCTTACGGGCAAATGGTAATTTAGTTACCTGGAGGGTATTTCGGAGGTCAACGCCCCCGCGGCCCAGTCCTTGACAAGGACTCCCGGTGGATCATGGCCTAATCAACCAGGCTATTACATGCAACCTTGCAGCGCTGTATAGCCCTTGTAGCATAGCGCTTCTTTTTGATTATAATAATATTACATGCAACATATGGGGATCTTTATTGAGGAAACGTTTCGCCACACAGTGGCTTTAGCTGTATAGCCCTTGTGGCTTAGCGCTTCTTTTTGATTATAATAATAATTCATCAGTCCAATACAAATCAGAAGGGTTTAAGGAGAGGAGTAGTTTGGGGTAATCAGTGCCTCAGCCTCCATCAGTCTTGTAGAAAGTACAGCATAGGACCGTAGACGTGGTTTATATACTGTAGTCAGGTGAGGTGAAGCAGGAGGAGGCGGGGTTATAGTGGTGTCATCCACTAGTCGAAGTAGGTCTTCGTCCAAAGGTTGGACAAGGTTGAAGAATTCTTTGTATCAAGACCCCATGATGTTGCAGTGTCTGACATATGTGATAAATAGTCGTTTTTTTAAACCATTTATCACACAGGCTATTACAGCTGGCAGCATGTAGTTCAATGTACGAACCACAACCTGGCTAGTCAGGTACTGATTTTGTGTGTCTGTCCAGCTCCTGCTTGAAGACAGCCAGGGGTCTATTGGTAATTCCACTTATGCCTGGTGAGAGGCTGTTGAACAATCTTGGACCCCTGACACTTATTGTATCACTCATTGTACTAATGGTACCCCTGGTTTTCATTGGGGAATGATGCATCTCCTGCCCGGAGTGATTTCTGTGTACAGATTTGGGACCAGTCCCTCTAGGATTTTCCTGGGTTCATTATTATTTATTTCCATTCCCATCCTATGGATGGTAGTTCAAAAGAAAAGAGGCAAAAAATGGGTCCAAAGACTGGACACCATCGTTGCTAGATTCTTCTTTCACTCGTATATTTTCATAATCAGTATTGCAAGTTACTTAACAGCGTTATTCCCTTGGTAAATTCAGAGCAACACATGGAAAGAAGGTTTGGTTAGGTAAGATTTGCCAGGAGCCAGGACAAGTGTTTCCTGACGCGGGTCTTAGTCATATGATCCACAGCTGGAGCTTTTAGTCATCTGACAGAGGCCTTCCACTAGCTTACTACTCCACCCCTTCAAAGATTATAGTTAGGATTATGATCATTTAATAAATGGAAGGAAGAGGCTGCTTGCTTCACCTATGTTGTTGTGTGTTAGGAAAGTTACCAGAGACAGTGTGTGTTGGATGGCCCAGTCATCTCACAAGGCAAAAGGTAACTTGTATAAAATACCGAAACGACTGAAGAAGTGACACAAATGCAGTATAATGGGATCCTTTATTGACTACGTTTTGCCCACACATTGGGCTTTTTTAAGTCACTTGATAACGCCCACTGTGCATACCTGGAGAGCATTCCGATGGTCAATTCCCCCGAGGCCCGATCCATGACCAGGCCTCACCGTAGATCAGGGCTTGACCAACTAAGCTGTTACTGTTACTGTGTGGGCCAAATGTAGTCAATAAAGCACCACATTATATTGCATATGTGTCTATTCTTCACAAGACAGAACTTAGTGGATACTAGACTGCGGGAACTATAAAAATAATGGCCCAAAAATGCCTGTTCACTGTCTCAGTTGCTATAATTCAGAATTAATTATAATTTTAGAAAGCTCTAACTTATTTTTCATAGCTAACAATGTAAGGAGTAGAGAGTGACTTGATGCCTGAAATGGATTTCAGGAATATTTCATACGTATTAACTAGAGGCTCATTTTAATGTCAGAACCGTACCATCGAGGCCTGGTTATGGACAGGGCCCCGGGGGGTTGACCCCTGAAACACACACTAGGTAACCCAACCCTTAGTCCCACAAATTTTCAACCTCCAAACCCACTTGTAACATGACTCGAGCATACCTGGCCCCACTCTTCCAAGACTGCAACACACCTGCCTTTCAAAACAGCTACGACTGCTCACCTTGACCCTCTCCACCCATCTGTTAAGGTCGCCATAACACTTGTAGCTGTATTCCAGAGCATCGAGCTCAGTTACGGAGGCCAGGACGGCGATGTCAGCCAGGGTGATCTTCTCCCCGCACAGGTAAGGCACTCCACCGATCTCAAGGAAGTGGTCGAGGTAGTCGAGACTTTGCTTGAGCAGGTTCTCCTTCTCCGGGTCCGGGGGAAGACCTTGGTGAATCTTGGGACCCTGTGAGAAGAAGGGGGAGTGAGAGAGAGAGATGAGATAGGGCTTATAATAATTTTGGTTCAAATACCAAGAGTATGTTGGAGGGCTCGATACGGCATACGTTGTCAGTGGCCCTATAACCCTCAACAACAATAGATAGGTCTTGGGACCCAGGGAAAAGGAGCTGCGTTAAGATGGACTCAGCGTAGGTGTCTTTCGCGAGAGAGTGAGTGTGTAGCTGAATACATAGATTGATACTTGGAAACATAACTAACCGAACAAACGAGATAATGAATGAAGAAAAACCACATAAGCATACATATACATACAAAAGATAACGAATATTACACATACAGAGATTATCCATGTCTCCAGTGGATGACAAGTATGGATCACTTACCTGCCTCTCCAGTCACTGATACAATTATATATTTACCGATCATTCATGTATCTACATCTGTCTAGGAGCTGTATGATCCCTAGGGGTTTAACGCTTCCCAAATTTCTTCCCATGCTTCTACAGCTAGCAATGTATGTGTTAGTATATGTATCTTCCTGCATGTATCTCTATTCCCAGAATATCAGCTATTCATTGTTTATGTATTAAGTCATTCAGCTATTCAATAGTAGATCAACTTATCGTAATGGTAAGTAATATAACCTGTGATTTGGGGAAGAAGGATGATAACATATAAGTCTACTAACAATATTACTAGGGCTCCATCATGTTGACAAACACAAGAGGTGGTCAGATGCACAGGGTAACATTCTCAACAAGTCACTGTCCTCACAACCTCCCTCATGTACACACAAGCTTAAATCCAGGTGAGGTTAACCTGAGAGATGGACAAAGGCACCTTTAGTAAATATTTAACACTCCAAGTAAATGAGATATACACGAAATTAACATTTCATGGGCCACCGTCCCACGTATTCTCAGCCCCCCCCCCAAAAAAAGGGTGAATGTAGAAGAGTACCCGGCCTATTGAAAACATATCCCGCTGAGGATGCCTATAAGAGAGAGAACATAGATCTTAGAGAAGAAGAAATAGGTTGGTGAACTGCTGACAAAACCACAAATATCAAGAAACACAAACCTTCCATCCATAGACTGTGGCTCAAGAAGCAAAACTGGAACATTTATGCCAGCAAGAAGAAACCACAAAAGTAACAAAAACAAAATTCATTCTGGAAAGCGTAGAAAAAAAAATACAAACTTTTTTTTTCACGTTTACAAACTCCTGGTCAAACACCTGTACCTGGAGGGAGTTCGGGGGTCAAAGTCCCCGCGGCCCGGTCTCTGACCAGGCCTCCCGGGGAGGTCAGGACCTGATAAGTAAGTAAGTAAGTAAGTAAGTTTATTCAGGTATACACAAATACAGTTACATAGAATTATCATACATAGAAGCATATGTGTAGAGAACCTAGGATAACCCAAAAAAGTCAGACAGAGTGACTTATTTCCATTGGGGATCACCCAGGCTGTTCCTCTCCCAGAATTAGTGGAAACTTTTCTTCCACGTGGTCCAACACCTCTCCCAGTATTGATCCTCAACTCACAGGATATTCAATTAAAAATGACAAGGAATCCTGCGAAATCCTTCAAGAAAGGTAAAGACTCAGTGGTCAGCACTTCAGGTGTCACTCAAGACTCACATCATACACAGTGGTCAGCACTGCAGGTGTCACTCAAGACTCACATCATACACAGTGGTCAGCACTGCAGGTGTCACTCAAGACTCACATCATACACAGTGGTCAGCACTGCAGGTGTCACTCAAGACTCACATCATACACAGTGGTCAGCACTGCAGGTGTCACTCAAGACTCACATCATACACAGTGGTCAGCACTTCAGGTGTCACTCAAGACTCACATCATACACAGTGGTCAGCACTTCAGGTGTCACTCAAGACTCACATCATACACAGTGGTCAACACTTCAGGTGTCACTCAAGACTCACATCATACACAGTGGTCAGCACTTCAGGTGTCACTCAAGACTCACATCATACACAGTGGTCAGCACTTCAGGTGTCACTCAAGACTCACATCATACACAGTGGTCAGCACTTCAGGTGTCACTCAAGACTCACATCATACACAGTGGTCAACACTTCAGGTGTCACTCAAGACTCACATCATACACAGTGGTCAGCACTTCAGGTGTCACTCAAGACTCACATCATACACAGTGGTCAGCACTGCAGGTGTCACTCAAGACTCACATCATACACAGTGGTCAGCACTTCAGGTGTCACTCAAGACTCACATCATACTCAGTGGTCAGCACTTCAGGTGTCACTCAAGACTCACATCATACACAGTGGTCAGCACTGCAGGTGTCACTCAAGACTCACATCATACACAGTGGTCAGCACTTCAGGTGTCACTCAAGACTCACATCATACCAGTGGTCAGCACTTCAGGTGTCACTCAAGACTCACATCATACTCAGTGGTCAGCACTTCAGGTGTCACTCAAGACTCACATCATACTCAGTGGTCAGCACTTCAGGTGTCACTCAAGACTCACATCATACACAGTGGTCAGCACTTCAGGTGTCACTCAAGACTCACATCATACTCAGTGGTCAGCACTTCAGGTGTCACTCAAGACTCACATCATACTCAGTGGTCAGCACTTCAGGTGTCACTCAAGACTCACATCATACACAGTGGTCAGCACTGCAGGTGTCACTCAAGACTCACATCATACACAGTGGTCAGCACTTCAGGTGTCACTCAAGACTCACATCATACTCAGTGGTCAGCACTTCAGGTGTCACTCAAGACTCACATCATACACAGTGGTCAGCACTTCAGGTGTCACTCAAGACTCACATCATACTCAGTGGTCAGCACTGCAGGTGTCACTCAAGACTCACATCATACACAGTGGTCAGCACTGCAGGTGTCACTCAAGACTCACATCATACACAGTGGTCAGCACTGCAGGTGTCACTCAAGACTCACATCATACACAGTGGTCAGCACTGCAGGTGTCACTCAAGACTCACATCATTTCTTCACAAACTATGGCGCCCAACATATATATATACCTGACATTAGCATAAATCTTCCAGAATTCGAAAAAATACACAAATATCCTGCACATAGGAGAGGGAAAAACCTTACGATGACGTTTGGGTCCGACTTGGACCATTTACAAAGTCACACTGACACAGAGTGAGGGAGCCAGTATATATATGCAAGGGAGGACAGGGACGGGACCAGGAGACTAAGAAAAAGCAGCAGTAGTAGTGGTAAGGCTGGTAGTGGAAGTGGTGGTAGTAGGAAGTAGGGAGAATAATTTAGTAGTACAAGAGAGAAAGGTAAGTGAAGGGTGACGGGAGGCAATAGTAGTGGTAGTAGTAATAGTACGGTAGTAGAAATGGAATGGTAGTTGTAGCATTCAGAGTTTTTTGATCCACTGGAAGGCTTGGTCAAGGACTGGGCCGCGGGGGTGTCGACCCCCAGAACGACTTCCAGGTAGAGTCCAAGAAGACTCCAGGTAGAAAGTAAGAAACATGCAAATAACTTAGTATAATGATGTCAGATGATAAGTCATTTACAGAACCACAAATCAAATGTCACAGAGGCCAATAAATGACAGGATGGATAACGAGAACTTTCAAAACAAGAGAAATAATACCAGTAATAAAATACTATTCAGATCGCTTGTATTCTCGCATCCAGGATATTGTTCCGTGCTCACAGCTCCGCTCAGGGATCTGATAAGTGTACAAAAATAATTTACTGCCCCATAGAAATAATAATGGATTTGAACTACTGGAAACGCCTCAGTATACCTGGATTATACTCTTTGGAGCAAAAAACACAGTGGCACTTGATAATGTATATAAAGAAGGTACTGGAGGGCCAGGTCCCCAGTCCACATACTAACATAACTTACTGGAGTGAGTGATATGGGAAGTTTACAATAGATACAGTGGATAGTAAGGGATTCTTGGGCTTAGTATCAACATAGTGTTCTGTATAGCCCTTGTGGCTTAGTGCTTCTTTTTGATTATAATAATAATAATCAACATAGTGTCAACATAGTATCAACATCCGTGGTTGAAGGCGAGCCATCCTGCTGTCAGTAAATATCAACATGCTACCATGAGACATCAGAAATATTGCCGGGGTTAAGTGTAGAAGTCTTCATTAGAATATACGATCACTACTTCCTCCAAGTGCCAGATCATCCAGGATCTAATGACTGTAGGCTAGCGGGCCAGTAACAATAGCTTGGTTGAAAAATCAACAAATCTGGTTGAAAAATTGGGCAGACTAACAAAATGATCAAACTAAGCCACAGGTATTCAAGGCCGGGGAGATGAGGTGCACATTGAAGTTGTTTCTTATGATTAAAGACTTACGAAATATTCCTTGATAGCATGGTAGAGTGTACCCATGTCGAAGAAGAGCATACGATCCACCTTGGCTCGCTCCTCAGGTTCCTTGGGATACAGGTACTGCGTCTCCTCAGTAGCATGCTTGTTAGCTAGGTACATCATAATGGCCCGGCTGTAACACAAGAGGTCAAGATAGGTCATTGTAAGAGAGGGAATTAGAGGAATAATCACTGTGCATAGTGACCCACAGAGAAATAAACTACTGGGTAAGAAGGATGGGAAAGTTACTGTTGGAAATGCATCATTAAAGGGAGGAATAATAAGGGTCACTGGTCATGTATAATGTCGTTAACCATAGAATGATATTTGAGTAAATATTCTAAATTTGAGGTATTGTTAACGACGCTGCAGCGCTGTATAGCCCTTGTGGCTTAGCGCTTTTTTTTCATTATAATAATAATGTTAACGACGCTTCACACGCTGAGGGTCCGGGTTCGATTCGCAGCGAGGTGGAAACTTTCGACGCGTTTCCTTACACCAGTTGTCCTGTTCACCTAGCAAGTAGGTACCTGGGTGTTAGTAGACTGGTGTGGGTGGCATCCTGGGGGACAAAATTAAGGACCACAATGGAAATAAAAGACAGTCCCTCGATGACGCACTGCATTTTTTGGGTCACCCTGGGCGGCTAACCCTCCGAGGTTAAAAATCTTATCTCTTATCTTATGGAAGCGTTGGAGAAATACGCAGTTGTTCTGTTTATGGTTTTGCTGGGTAGATGTTGTAGACATCTTGCTGGGTAGATGTTGTAGACATCAGCCAAGTGTGTCTTCATGTAGAATTAGACATACATACAACATCTGGGTATCTTTAATTGTCGACGTTTCGCCATCCAGTGGCTTTATCAGTACAATACAAGGTATGTGAAGAAATATATACAAAATTTGAGGTAATCAGTCCCTCAGTCTTGGAGATGGTGAAAAGTACCGTAGTTTTGAAGACTCTGCTATTGTACTGACATAGTCACTGGATGGCGAAACGTCGACAATAAAGATACCCAGATGTTGCACATGTCCCTAATTCTTCATCTTGTGGGTATAGTGAACTGTGTATGTACAGGTGTATCCTACCAGCGTGGCGTCTACATTGTAACTGCCCGAGGGTGGAGCCAGGGAGTGACCTCATACAGGTCAGCGTCGGTGACCTTTCAGTGACTAGCTAACGTCACATTCCTATACCGTGACACTAGTAACGGTCCCATACTTACCTAATATACTGCTGACATGAGATGGTCATCCTAATGACGTTACTTGTTAAGACTTTACACTCAACCCCCAGACTCTCAGTAGTCATTACTCTCCACCACTCACCTTCCAGTGGGTGCCTTCATATGTGTGTTGTATGTATGTATATGTGTGTATAGTAGTGGGGATCAGTTTGTGTGTGTGTGTGTGTGTGTGTGTGTAGAAGGCACCAGTGAACCTATACATACCCACCATCACATACCATCACACACCTAGACCACCACCGCATTAGCTAATTTTGCACCTTGTGGATGGGCGGATGTGTGGGCGGGTGTGTGGGCGGGTGTGTGAGCGGGCGTGGTATTCAGGGGGGCAGGCAGGGGCGGCGGAAGTGGTGGTGGTGGGCAAGGATGATGTCTTATGTCATGGGTGCAACCCACAACATTCTTATTATATCTCACGCCTCCCTGCGACCACTGCCACCAACCTCACTTTCCTACCACCTATCATATATATATATATATATATATATATATATATATATTTATATATATATTTATATATATATATATATATATATATATATATATATATGTATATATATATATATATATATTACATATATATATATATATATGTATATATATATATATATATATATATATTATATATATATATTTATATATATATATATATTATATATATATATATAATATATATGAAAAACAATCGCAGACAGGTGATCTTCACAATGTAGGACAAGTCACGGTAGGGGGGGGTTGTATATCTTTAGCTCAAGTACTTTCTCACTTCTCAGTGCGTCATCAGGAGCTGTACAATGTTGGAAGGGCAGCAACAGGAGAAATAGAGTATAACACGCGAGTGTTCCACTCATCAGAGTGACATCCATCTGATCTTGCCTCAGGCACCACCAGTTATGATGTGACATCGTGAATATGGGTCCAGTAGCTGGTGTGTCTCTAGTGCTGGAGGATGGACTCCATAGTGATCTTACTGTCTCAGCATCACCCAGGATGACAGTCTTACGCACTTCTTACACTCGGTAGACAAGCGCCTTTACTTGTCTGTCTGGCTCTTTATAGCACTTCATCCTCCAATATTTTGTTTATCTTCTACGAGGAAAATAAATGTGATAAATATAGTATTTTCCCAATAATTCTGGGTTTATTTTCCTGGCTTCCTTGTTTCCTGTCTTCTCTCCCACCATGATCACACTACCATCCTCTCTGTTGTACTACCATCCTCTCTGTTGTACTACCACACTACCATCCTCTCTGTTGTACTACCATCCTCTCTGTTGTACACCATCTCTCTGTTGTACTACACCTCTTTGTACTACATCCTCTCTGTTGTACTACCATCCTCTCTGTTGTACTACCACACTACCATCCTCTCTGTTGTACTACCATCCTCTCTGTTGTACTACCACACTACCATCCTCTCTGTTGTACTACCATCCTCTCTGTTGTACTACCATCCTCTCTGTTGTACTACCATCCTCTCTGTTGTACTACCATCCTCTCTGTTGTACTACCACACTACCATCCTCTCTGTTGTACTACCACCTCCTTTTCACACCCTCTCTGTTGTACTACCATCCTCTCTGTTGTACTACCATCCTCTCTGTTGTACTACCATCCTCTCTGTTGTACTACCATCCTCTCTGTTGTACTACCATCCTCTCTGTGTTACCATCTCTCTGTTGTACTACCATCCTCTCTGTTGTACTACCATCCTCTCTGTTGTACTACCATCCTCTCTGTTGTACTACCATCCTCTCTGTTGTACTACCACACTACCATCATCTCTGTTGTACTACCATCCTCTCTGTTGTACTACCACACTACCATCCTCTGTTGTACTCACCACCTCTCTGTTGTAACCAACTACCATCCTCTCTGTTGTACTACCATCCTCTCTGTTGTACTACCACACTACCATCCTCTCTGTTGTACTACCATCCTCTCTGTTGTACTACCATCCTCTCTGTTGTACTACCATCCTCTCTGTTGTACTACCATCCTCTCTGTTTCTTCACACTACCATCCTCTCTGTTGTACTACCATCCTCTCTGTTGTACTACCATCCTCTCTGTTGTACTACCATCCTCTCTGTTGTACTACCATCCTCTCTGTTGTACTACCACACTACCATCCTCTGTTGTACTACCACACTACCATCCTCTGTTGTACTACCACACTACCATCCTCTCTGTTGTACTACCACACTACCATCCTCTCTGTTGTACTACCATCCTCTCTGTTGTACTACCACACTACCATCCTCTCTGTTGTACTCACACATCCTCTCTGTTGTACTACCATCCTCTCTGTTGTACTACCACACTACCATCCTCTGTTGTACTACCATCCTCTCTGTTGTACTACCACACTACCATCCTCTGTTGTACTACCATCCTCTCTGTTGTACTACCACACTACCATCCTCTCTGTTGTACTACCACACTACCATCCTCCTGTTGTACTACCACACTACCATCCTCTCTGTTGTACTACCATCCTCTCTGTTGTACTACCATCCTCTCTGTTGTACTACCATCCTCTCTGTTGTACTACCATCCTCTCTGTTGTACTACCATCCTCTCTGTTGTACTACCATCCTCTCTGTTGTACTACCATCCTCTCTGTTGTACTACCATCCTCTCTGTTGTACTACCACACTACCATCCTCTCTGTTGTACTACCATCCTCTCTGTTGTACTACCACACTACCATCCTCTCTGTTGTACTAAACCCTCTCTTGTTGTACTACCATCCTCTCTGTTGTACTACCATCCATCTGTTTACTACCACACTACCATCCTCTGTTGTACTACCACACTACCATCCTCTGTTGTACTACCACACTACCATCCTCTCTGTTGTACTACCATCCTCTCTGTTGTACTACCATCCTCTCTGTTGTACTACCACACTACCATCCTCTGTTGTACTACCATCCTCTCTGTTGTACTACCATCCTCTCTGTTGTACTACCATCCTCTCTGTTGTACTACCACTCCTCTCTGTTGTACTACCATCCTCTCTGTTGTACTACCACACTACCATCCTCTCTGTTGTACTACCATCCTCTCTGTTGTACTACCATCCTCTCTGTTGTACTACCATCCTCTCTGTTGTACTACCATCCTCTCTGTTGTACTACCATCCTCTCTGTTGTACTACTACATCCTCTCTGTTGTACTACCATCCTCTCTGTTGTACTACCACACTACCATCCTCTCTGTTGTACTACCATCCTCTCTGTTGTACTACCACACTACCATCCTCTCTGTTGTACTACCATCCTCTCTGTTGTCTCCACCTACCATCCTCTCTGTTGTACTACCACACTACCATCCTCTCTGTTGTACTACCATCCTCTCTGTTGTACTACCACACTACCATCCTCTCTGTTGTACTACCATCTCTCTTGTTGTACTCCATCCTCTCTGTTGTACTACCATCCTCTCTGTTGTACTACCACACTACCATCTCTCTGTTGTACTACCACACTACCATCCTCTCTGTTGTACTACCATCCTCTCTGTTGTACTACCATCCTCTCTGTTGTACTACCATCCTCTCTGTTGTACTACCATCCTCTCTGTTGTACTACCATCCTCTCTGTTGTACTACCACACTACAATCCTCTCTGTTGTACTACCACACTACCATCCTCTCTGTTGTACTACCACACTACCATCCTCTGTTGTACTACCATCCTCTCTGTTGTACTACCATCCTCTCTGTTGTACTACCATCCTCTCTGTTGTACTACCACCCTCTCTGTTGTACTACCACACTACCATCCTCTCTGTTGAACTACCACACTACCATCCTCTCTGTTGTACTACCACACTACCATCCTCTCTGTTGTACTACCACACTACCATCCTCTCTGTTGTACTACCACACTACCATCCTCTCTGTTGTACTACCATCCTCTCTGTTGTACTACCACACTACCATCCTCTCTGTTGTACTACCACACTACCATCCTCTCTGTTGTACTACCACACTACCATCCTCTCTTGTTGTTACTACCAACTACCATCCTCTTGTTGTACTACCACACTACCATCCTCTTGTTGATACTACTATACCATCCTCTCTGTTGTACTACCACACTACCATCCTCTCTGTTGTACTACCACACTACCATCC